AGGGGGGGCAGAGGGGGAAAGCGGGTGATAAAAAATTGGCATTTACTATAATGAAAAAAGGGGTTTTGGGGCATTAAATGAATTAAAGGGGCAAGAGTGAAAAGGTGTTTGGGGCTAGTTCTTATTCATAGTTAAGTAGTGGGCAATGGACAGAGTCCAATTGTCCAATCCTAACACAAGTCTATTATGCCAGCACATTGGAAGCTCAGAAGGATTTACGAAAATCCACAAGGAGTGAATTTAGGTAGGCACAAATCAGGTGTGATTATAAATTAAAGGAACAAAAAAAGTTCTCTGATCTGGATTAGTCAGGGATTATTATGTGGGTAGTACTTCGTGATCATGGTGTTTGCCTGAAAGGTTGCAGAGGATTGTATTGGGCTTTAAAGCCCACGCTCAAACAGATCCTGGGAATAACATCAAGGTCCAACACACTACATGAAAAGCAATGCAGGATACGAACACACAGAGAAGGATGAGCAGAGATCAGCACACCAGACAGGGGATGAAGGCAGGTGGGTACCACAGGCAAGAATTGGAACATTCAGCCGGAGAGAGACACCGTGGGGTGCATGGGAGGATTGGTGTATGTGATGAGGCCTCCAACGAATACTAAGGGTTGATATCGTCTCATAAGCGGTGGTCCTCTCCGATCACCAGCACAAGGCATTGAAGATCAAGTCCTAAGAGCGGACCATTGATGCATAGCCCACCTGTAACTCGACACAATAAGCAGCCTAGCAGGGTGGCAGTGGAAGGTCATGATCCCAATCACTGGACAAGCAGCCCTAGCACACAGGTTGGATACCAGGGAGCATAGAGCATGGGGCCCACCAAATAACAGCTCTTTAAATAGCCATTCTCCATTAGAAGCTCTCTGGGATGTGTGGTCCAAGAAAGTCTCAGGAGTCCATTATGGCCTGAACACAGTACTACAGGTTCCAGCGCAGTCCTTTGCTTCCAGACATTCAGAAATATGAATATGCAAGCAGGGTGAGTAACACTAGAGGATGAAACTGAGCAGGTCTGCAGGCTAATTACGTAATGTCCTCTGCATTCATATCATTGCAGCCAGCTCACAGGCTACACAAAGATTAGTGTCTGCAGGGTGCCCCGCCAGAGGGCTGAGCACAAAAAGTTTCAAAAGGGCCTCATGTGGCCCTTGGTTGATGCAGGATGGCGACTAGGGACCTTAGGGACTGGTGTACACAGCTCATTTGAGCAGGTTAATTCCTTCTCCAAATTCATACAGACTTGTGCAGAGGTAATGCAAGCAAACACTAACTGATCTTAAACTGACTTTATTTTGATCTCAAGGCTCCCTAGTCCTACATTGTGTATTGGTCTTTATAAACCCAACCACTCAGAGCAGCTTTTCAAAGGTAAACAAAGAAATTTTAATCCAGTTTCTAATAATCCCCAGACAAAACCAACCATCGTCCTTCTTTGTTTGAATTTCCACATTCTAAAGAATGGGTGAGGAAACATCATCACGGACCCGAGGGTCCTCTCTCCACCATCATAGGAGCATTTTTCTCCTTCAAGTTTATGAAAGTGTTGTATCGGCCACAACACGAGCACTGCCTTGCCGTCAGGGTTTGTAAGGAAACAATGAACGCCGAGATATAATGGAATGGAATGTACAATATGTTCCCACACTCTGACTATGATCAGACAGGGTGGTATTATGTCTTCTGAATTCAGGAATGGCATTTCAGAATAGTGTGCAAAAAGAAATATAGAAAAAATCAATTCATATTGTTAGCAACACCTCTATTAGATTTCTGGAGGAATATCTGAAGCACTCAAAGAAATGAAAGGACAGGAACACACGAAAATGATCAAAGAAAACACCTGCTATAAATCGGTGAAGAAATAAGGGGGGTGTCCATCTACTATACATCTCTCCATGGAAGGGAAGCAAAGCCTATAATAAATAAAGCTCACCTCTGTTGACTTCCATACCATAGAATGGATGGAGTATAGGGGCAGCCATGTAGCTCCATTGATCCGTTTGCATGCAGCTTTTTTCTTATCACTGCACTAAAGATGGCCATACCTAGTAGTAGGTTTCGTATGTAATAGAAAATTCTCAGTACACATTTGATGACCTGACAAATGTTGTACTTCAGCTTGCTTTTAAACTTTCGTTTTTGAAATAAAATGGAATTTCCCAAACAATTTTTTTTTTTTTCCACATACCCTTAGCGGCAAATTTGTTCAGAACACTGTTTTTTTTGTATTCTGCCATTTATATTTATATTTATATATATACCGTAGTAACTTAGAAAACCTTCAATAAAAATTTACTTGAATAAGAATTTGTTTTCATTAGAAAAAAAATTTCCTTCCTGCTTCCTTTGAATTTTTCCGTCACTGCAGTAGCAAATTAAACACCTGTTATGGCCCCACTAAATGATCAAAAATCCAAAGAACAATTACTTAAAACAAAAACATTTTAATAAAACACACACTACAAGTGTATGGCAGGCTTAAAAGCTGATGTGTGAATATGAAAAAACCATAGCGAACAGGGACAAGAATAAGAATGAGCAGAGGGATGGGACCTCATCACTGTGGCTCCTTCATTATCCAAACAGAATGCTGGGAGTATGCTCTAGAAACTGCTGTTCTGCTGCTGTATCTGCAGTGGAGGTCCCAAGCCTCGTTGACCCTGCTGCTATTTTGTAATTATACATATCTTCTTGAGCAACAAGCTAGCCCTGTTGTGCTGAAAAAACCATTGGTTATCTTCTGTTTTAGATATTTTACTGTGTGTATAAAAATATATATATATTGTATGACAAGTGTGGCGATCTGTCACCCTGTATTCTCAACAAGGGCAGGTTTGAGGGAGGCTCCAGGGACGTAAGCGTGTTTGATATGGAGGTGAAAGATGGGGCTTTTCACCTTCCACCATTTGTGTTTGTAGTAAGGTCTGTTTTGGGATCTGGAGCCTGGAGATTTCAAAGAGATCTGGGAGGGATGAAATCTCCAATCCTGGGACCAGGTTTTGGGATAGGCCAGGTGGGGACTGATTGCACCCAGGTGTGTGCAGGCCTTTAGAGAGAGTCCAGGACCAGGGTATCTGGGCTCCACTCCGGCAGCTAGGAGTCAGCAGGGCTCCACCACACAGGCAGGTAGGAAGTCAGCAGGGCTCCACCCTGGCCAGCTAGGGCAGTCAGGAGGGCTCCACCCCGGCAGACGGGAGGTCTCTGCCTTGGAGTCAGGTTGAAGCCAGACTAGATGTGTGCTAGTGGCTATAAGTTTGGAAGAGTCTGCAGGAGTTAGACATTGAACGGTGTGAAGCCAGGAGGCTGAATCGTTGTTTTGTTGGTGGATACCCCTGCGTTGGGAAGCATTATGTTATGGGGACATTTTCATTTAAAAAAAGTGCGGCCTAAAAAAGGCCCATAAAAAGTGAAAGCGAGTTAGCTGTTTGCTTTAAAAGCACTCTACCCCACGTTGAAGCGAGTTCCCACATATGGTATGGAGGATGCGGGCAGAATTGGAGATCCCGCCGCGATTTGAAGTAAGTTCACTCAAGTTTATATGAACTGTTGGGTGCATAAGTCTCCACTATATACTGTGTGTGCAGGTGAGGAGAACCTGCTAAACGAAAGACTTAAAGAGACAGTCGTTCATGGTGTTGCTGAACTGTGTAACAACACTTGCTGTCGTGCATGACTGCAAAGATGGGCGGTCAAAACAAAAAAAAGGGGAAGCAATGTTTTGCTGAGAAAGCGAAGAGATAGAGACCCTGTGGCTAGGGGGTTAATATTACCGCATGCCCCCAGCCAAGCCGGGAAATTTTTAAATGTGGGTGAGTCTGCTGTGAACTGGTGTCAAGCGGCACCTGGCAGCACTTGAAACAACCGAAAGAGGAAAGCAAGCCAACCTTCAGTGCAAGGAGAGAGCTGCAAGGATGTCCGTACCTGGGAGAGGGGTGTTGTCACGCCCCTAGCAACGCTGCTGTCCATGCAGTTAAACCATGTAGCCTGATGTTGAATGTGTCCAGAACGGCTTGAGAGTTGGTCCAGCAGAGAGAAGCCCCAATGCCTATGTGCAAGGAGAGGAGGGGCTGACCAGAGGCCAGGACCAAGAGTGATGAAGGCCCATAGCAACACAGAGAAGGGCCAGTCGGGCTGGTCTGTGTAACAGGGGGCTATGTCATATAAGGATCATGACAGGAGGTGGTATCAAGAGAGCTAATACAGCGTTTTGGAAAGAGCCAGCAAAGATCTGCTTGGAAAGTGCAATCTCCCATGGCGATCGGATAAAAAAGTAGTGCCTGGAAGAGAGAAGCTGCATTGAAGAGGTGGTGCTCGAGTGTTCCCAACAAAGATAAGAGTGGAAATGAGTACCCTGCCTGGAATGTGTTGTCAGTGGGGGCATGGGCTCTTTTACTGTCCCAGACTCTGGAATACTGCGCAAATGTCTACAACTGCAAGCCCAGATTCTTGTTTATAAAATGGTCGGAAGCCAGCCACCTCTGGCAACAGGGAGGCGAAGTTTCTGTTGGGCACTGCCATCCAGCGGGGTGTCCAGAGAGTCCATTGGAGCCTATGATTGGCGCGTCCTGTTACAACTTCACCTTGGGGCAAGGGAAAAAGTTGCCAAGGAAAGTGCAGCAGTTTGAGGATGCGTTTATGAGACGACGCACGACTCAAATGAAAGAATGATGCGACACCTAACCTACTGTAGTGTGGGTATAGACTGGTGTGTGTATATAACCATGGCTGGGACTGTCATTGTTAGAGAAGGACAGGGTTATGAGACTGTCCATTCTGATGTAGGGGTGACCCCAGTTGGAGGCCACTGAATGTGCTTTTGAGAGTGACTTTATTCCCTGTGCAGTGCCTTGTACAGTGGGAGTGTTAGGGGTTAAAGTAAAACCTGTGCATGGTTCTCTCAAAAAGTACATGTCACTAATATGTGCCAGTCCACAGGTTGGTTAGTGGGATAATACAGCCACAAGAGATGCTACAAATGTTGATGATGTACAACTGTTCTGCTGTTGGGAAAACCCTGAGCTCTTGCAGTGCAAAATATCTGTAATTAAAGATGGGTCATTTCCCATAGCAACTGGTGGTAAGACACCGCACAGGTGTCCTTAAGAAATCTCCAGGGTCTCCGTGTATTGGAAGCCGGAGGTTGCTCTGGAGACAACTGCGATGTCACTCTGGTGGGAGCAGAGTGGAACTGCACCTTGTCCTAGGAGTGTGTTGGTGCAGTCCTAACCAATAATACGGAAAGTGTTCAGGTGAACAGCGGGGTTAATGCATGGCCTGGCAAAATTGCAAATGTGGGTGTTAATTCAGGAAGTATCACCACAAGAAGCAAAGTGGTGGATGTGAGGTATTGCACCTGCAGTGGGAAAAAAACAAGTGTTACCTAAGGTCCTGATATGAGCCAGAGTGATTTGTGCAATTGGATCTGCAACTAAGCCCGTCATATTCTTATGTGTCTCCTTGGGCAGGATGGATCACGTGCTGAGGAGCACTGGCAAATTGAGCACATTTATACAAAGGACTAGCTGGGATAGTTTGGGTAAAAGAGGCTAATCTCGTTGTTAGATGAGGCTTTTATGCAAAAAAATGTGGACACTGTTTCTGCTGTGCCAACAGGAGGATCTATAGAACGGCCTATAGATAAGAGTGTACATACAGCAGAGACTTGGTCTGTGACCCACAAGAGCGTGATGTTGGCATGGAGTGTCAAAATGATGAGTTGTCACTGGGAATGAATCAGGGGCAGCTTAGTGGATGCAGAGATCTGAGACGTTGAGAGTGAGCCCAGCACAATGGCAGCGCTCTGGTGGAGCACCAGGCTGTAGTTATCTCACCAGCTTGGAGGAGGTCCCTTTTTAAAAATTTCAACTTCTCAAGTCTCAGCAGATGAGTCTCTCAGCGTGTTTCCCAGTGCCACTATATATGGTCAGGAAGGTCTTAGGTTTAGAAGTCAAGTGGTTGGGTTGTAACCAAAGTATAAAGGAGATTGATGCTATGAACTTTTTGGAATGTGTACAACAACCAATGTACTACTGGGGTGTGTCTCCTCCACAGTCGGATGGTCTTTCTGTTGCATAGAGCGATTTTATTTATAACCCTTTTATTTAGTTTTTAATATTATTAATTTTTTTATGGAGCACCAAATGAGCTGATGCCATGTACAGATCAAACAAACGCGAATCAAGCGAAAGTAGTGGTTTTATACTTCTGAATTTGTTGATGGTATGTTGTTTTAAAAGTAGCACGCTATCACTAGGGTATGCAAGCCTGGGCTGGATTACCTGTAAATGTCGATTAAATGTGCAGGAAAATGACTAGGTCAAAAAAGGTTTCATCAGTGCTCCTACAGCCAGGTGGAAGCATTTCTGCTGCTAATGGTCCAGGATGGTGCGCTGGTCAGTTGTCAGTTAAGGGCGTGTTAATTGCACCATTGGACAAACCACATGAGATGGAAGGGGACCCGTAGCGATGGACCAGAGAACAGCAGAGATCCTGACGCAGGGCTCAAACGGATGTGTATAAGGAAATCGGGCGTCATTGGGCCAAAAAGAGGTTTATGAGTAGCAGGTCTTGATAAAAACACCCTGAAATACAAGGAGAAATGGTAAATGTGAAAACTGGCAAAATAGATCAAAAGAGAGCTCATCTGTACTGGGTTTGGATACAGATCCAAGTGGTGTAGGAAAAGTTAAAATGGTTGGTACAGCTGCTTGCAGAGTGCATGACACCAGGTGAAGTGGCATTTTGTGAGGTTCACGTGGGTGATGGCTGCCCTATGGTGGGTGTACCCTCTACAGACACTGTCCTAACTAAGGCTGGAAAAGGTATTGAAATGTGTAATATTGACTGGAAGTTATCTGTTCATGGTAAACTGAATGCTGTGGTAATGAGTCATGCAGGTTTGATAGCAAAAGGTACAAGAAATCAGGGGGGTGGTCCTGGTACAAATACAGTAGAAATAGTTCCTCTACAGCCTTGGGACAGTAATACTGAGGGGAGGTATTAGGAAACCTGATCACCTGAAGCAAAGGTGCAGAAAGGTCGGTAGAAAGGCCAGGGGGGACCCCGTTAAGATCTCAGGAGAGAAGTGGTTATGGAAATGCACCCGGAAAAAGAATAGGGAAGGTCTGAGTAGAGCCCATAGCAGAGTGACAATGGGGCTTGGGGATAGACACCAAAGGAGTCATTGGGTAGAGTTCCCCTTTAGGAAAGGTATGGTCAGACCAGATTGGACCCCTGTAAATGAGAGCTGGCAAAGAGGTGCCAGAAGGTATAAGTGGTGTGTTCTGCCCCCTACGGGATCAAAACAAAGGGGGGGGATATGTGACAGTGTGGCGATCTGTCACCCTGGATTCTCAACAAGGCAGGTTGAGGGGCTCCAGGGTAAGTGTTTGATATGGAGGAAAGTGGCTTTTCACCTTCCTCCTTTGTTTGTAAGGTCTGTTTTTTTCGATCTGGAGCCTGGAGATTTCAAAGAGATCTGGGGGGGATGAAATCTCCAATCCTGGGACCAGGTTTTGGGATAGGCCAGGAGACTGATTGCACAGGTGTGTGCAGGCCTTTAGAGAGAGTCAGGACCAGGGTTCTGGGCTCCACTCCAGCAGCTAGGAGTCAGCAGGGCTCCACCCCCGGCAGCTAGGAGTCAGCAGGGCTCCACCCCGGGCAGCTAGGAGGCTGAATCGTTGTTTTGTTTGGTGGATACCCCTGCGTGGGAAGCATTATGTTATGGGACATTTTCATTTAAATAAAAGTGGGCTAAAAAGGCCCTTAAAAAAGAAAGCGAGTAGCTGTTTGCATTTAAAAGCTCTACCACGTTGAAGCGAGTTCCCACAATATATACATACATAACATACATACACTGATCAAAAAAATTAAAGGAACAATTTTAAAATACATCAGATCTCAATGGGGAAAAATATCATGCTGCATATCTATACTGATATGGACTGGGTAATGTGTTAGGAATGTAAGGATGCCACATTGTTTGATGGAAATGAAAATGATCAACCTACAGAGAACTGAATTCAAAGACACCCCGAAAATCAAAGTGCAAAAATTATGCAGCAGGCTAGTCCATCTTGCTGAAATTTCATTGCAGCAACTCAAAATGGTCCTCACATGCTTGTACGCATGCCTGGCAATGTTGGGGAATGCTCCTAATGAGTCAACGGATGGTGTCCTGGGGTATTTCCTCCCAGACCTGGACCAAGGCATCACTGAGCTTCTGGACAGTCTGAGGTGCAACATGGTAGCGTCGGATGGACCGAAACATGGGATTAGGTCAGGCGAGCATGGGGGGCAATTCAATGGTATCAATTCTTTCATCCTCCAGGAACTGCCTGCATACTCTCGCCACATGAGGCCAGACATTGTTGTGCACCAGGAGGAACCCAAGACCAACTGCACCAGCGTAGGGTCTGACAATGAGTCCAAGGATTCCATCCCGATACCTAATGGCAGTCAGGGTGCCATTGTCTAGCCTATAGAGGTCTGAGCGTCTCTCCATGAATATGCCTCCCCAGACCATCACTGGCACACCACCAACAAAGTGGTCATACTGAACGATGTTACAGACAGCATAACATTCTTCATGGCTTCTCAAGACCCTTTCATGTCTGTCACATGTGCTCAGGGTGAACCTGCTCTCATCTGTGAAAAGCACAGGGCACCAGTGGTGGACCTGCCAATTCTGGTGTTCAATGGCAAATGTCAATCAAGTTCTATGGTGCTGGACAGTGAGCACTGGGCCCACTAGAGGATGTCTGGCCCTCAGGCCACCCTCATGAAGTCTGTTTCTGATTGTTTGGTCAGAGACATTCAGACCAATGGCCTGCTGGAGGTCATTTTGTAGGGCTCTGGCAGTGCTCATCCTGTTCCTCCTTGCACAAAGGAGCAGATACCAATCCTGGTTAAGGACCTTCTACAGCCCTGTCCAGCTCTCCTATAGTAACTGCCTGTCTCCTGGAATCTCCTCCATGCTCTTGAGACTGTGCTGGGAGACACAGCAAACCTTCTGGCAATGGCACGTATTGATGTGCCATCCTGGAGGAGTTGGACTGCCTGTGTAACCTCTGTAGGGTCCAGGTATCGCCTCATGCTACCAGTAATGACATTGACCCTAGCCAATTTCTAAAACTAGTGAAAAACAGTCAGAAATTCGGATGACATGATGCAGTCGATTGGGCCTTTTGTTAATGTTTGAAGCATCCGAAATAATAATAATAATGACTTAACAAATTATCCAAATTGTTTTGAATCCATTGGTTTTTATTCTAGTTAGCATAATGTGAATATTCTAATAACAATATTTTTGTATTGGGGATTGAACTTGAAAAAAACATTTGTTTAATTTGTATGTGCATAGCCCAAAAAAGACATTTGGGAATAGGGGAATTAATTTAACTTAATAACATAACAAATTAATACGTATTATTCATTACATTAAAAAGAATATAGCCAATCTTCTGAAATAACAAAAAAATAACAGAGCTTCTTAAAATACAAATTGATTCGGAACAACGAAAATCTACTTTCCCAAAATAACGAATTGTTCCCAAAACGAATCATTGCAACATAACAATTATGATGAAATTAAATGATTTACTTCCTTGGATACACAGAATATAACTGGTTACTAATATTTATAGGTAACGTTGATCCAGGGAATATCCGATTGCCTCTCGGGGGGATCAGGAAGGAATTTTTTTCCCGGTAGGAGCAAATTGGATCATGCTTTGCTGGGTTTTTTTTTGTCTTTCCTCTGGATCAACTGTGGGTATAGGATTATAACTTTTTTTTTATGGTTAAACTGGATGGACTTTTGTCTTTTTTCAGCCAGACTAACTACAGTATGTAGTTATGTAATTTAACAAATGAACCATCGTGCAATATAGTGTATATAGATTTTAAAAAAAGTAAAAAAAAAAAAAAATATATATATATATATATACATACACACACACACACACAAGGGTCTTCAAAAAATGTCTGCACTTTTATCCAAATGTATATGTTACAAAGATAGTGGAAACTTTTTGAAGAACATATATATATATATATATATATATATATATATATATATATATATATTGTGGAAGTTCGGTATCCTGCCACAGTCTAAATCAAGATTATAACCCAGGGTTCTATACTAAGCAGGTTGAGGGGCTACAGGCTGTTTGCTTAATACAGAGGAAACTGGTTTGCCAGTTTTTCTCGTTGGTCTGTAAAGTCCGTTTTTGGACCTGGGGCATGGAGATTTCGAAGTGATTTGGGAGGGATGAAATCTCCAATCTTGGGTCCATATGTTTTCAGAACCCCATTACACTAATTGCACAGGTGTGTGCAGGCCTTTTTGTGGAGGCCAAACCATGGTTCTGGGCTCCACCCCGGCAGACAGGAGGTCGTTGCCCAGGAGTCAGGAGGGCTCCGCCTAGGAGAGGTGGGAGCCAGAGCAGCAAGGGGCTAATAGTTGTATACCTGACAGAGCCAGGAGGCTGAATCTTTGTTTCGTTTGTATTGATGGTGGATACCCCTGCGTGGGAAACCTATATTGTATAGAACTTTCTTTTAAATAAAATTGGCCCTTAAAAAGAAGAAAAGCGTGTGGATGTGTGCTTCAAAATCTCTGCCCATGATGCTAGTTCTCACATAATATATATATATATATATATATATATATATATATATATATATATATATATATATATATATATATGCACTTTTTTTTCTTTTGAGGGATCATGTCCTCTAATTTTGTCTCTTCTATTCCCAGCAGAAATATGGGTATACATGTCACAGCTCTTTCTCGGTCCCACGGGCATTTCCTCTGTCCGCCCAACACCTGTGCTATAAGAAGCCGCGTGCTATAAGAAGCCGCGTGTAACCCCCACCAGCAATTCTGCTGATCAACAGAGATCTCACCAGTGAGGGGAGTATTATGGCTTTGCGTTCCAAGGACCTTCTAAGGAGCAATTAAAGTAAAACCCATCATCACTTGAATACTAGTAAACTGGTGGCAGAGATCACCTGTCAGTTATAACAAATGTAGAAGAACTGCTGAAATCTCAGTGATAAGTTATTTTCCCAGCACTGCTGAGCCGCTCTGAGGTTCGCTTCCCTGGCGAATTGATAAATACGGGGAGAATGGTGACTGTCAGTGACATTGTGTTCTCAGAACTAGCAGTTTGCACAAAGGAGCTCCTAGTCCTGAAAACAGAATGTAGATAAGTGTTCTGTTAGCACAGGGCACAGTTCCTGAAAAATGTTAATCTTCAGGCTGTGGAAGGGGTTAATGAACCTGGGCATTTGTGTGGGGAATACACAATTAGAAAATGGAATGATTGTTTGGCAGACTTTCCGTGAAGATGCATTTCTTTTGCTGGGATTTTTTTGCGCTAAGCATGAAAGTTTACCTGAAAGTTAACCACTTAAAGTGGTTATAAAGGCTCAAGTTTTTCTACCTTCACACATTCTATGAAGGTAAGAAAGCCTTCTATGTGCAGCAGCCCCCCTAATACTTACCTGAGCCCCGTCACGATCCAGCGATGTGCACAAGAGCAACAGGTCTCTCTCCTCTCATTAGCTGAGAGGGCAACAGGAGTCATTGGTTCCGGCCACTGTCAATCAGAGCCAGTGAGCCATTGAGGAGTCAGTGGGGGTGGGCCGATCTCTGAGTGTGAATGAACACGCAAAGCAGCGGCTCAGGAGCAAGCCTGCTTGGGTCTATGGGGCACTCAGCAGGAGGGAGGGGCCAGGAGCACAAGCCAGCTGGGGATCCATGAGAGGAGGATTGGGAATGTTCTGTGCCTTTAATATCACTTTAAAGCAGTCACATATAAAAAGACACAACATAATGCAGCTCTGCATTTAGTAATACATTAGAAAATGTGTTATATTTTATTTATTTTTTTGATAAATGCAAGCAGTGTAAGTTCCTGAATTTGACTTCACATCAGGCTCTTGCAATCCACTATACAGCACAGCAAAGACTGGGACAGGGAATAGTGGAACAAGGAGTAAGTCAGTTGTGGTGCAGTGCTCATATAACAAAAGGTATGCTGATAGGAGGAGAAAGCAGAGTAACAAAGAGCTGAGCTCATCAGTCTGCTGCTTCTCCTTCACTTTCCAGTCATAGGCTGGAGGCGGGTAAAACCAGCAAGTGGTACTTAAAGTATTTGTAAAAGTTGAAGGTTTTGCATTCTGTGTATGAAGGTGAAAAACCTTCTGTGAGCAGCAGCCCCCCAGACCCTCTCCCCCATCCCCCTTAATACTCACCAGAGCTTCCTCTCCATCCAGCAGTGTACACGGGAGCCTTGGCTGTCCCCGGTCTCCCTCTTCTCATTGGATCAGACAGCAGTGGGACCCATAGGCTCCCATTGCTGTCATTCATAGCCAGTAAGCCAATGAGGAGAGAGCGGGGGCCCGAGCTGTGGCTCTATATGTCTTATGGACGCATAGAGCGAGGCTTGGGAGCAAGCACCCACCAGTGCCTCCATAGAAAGTGGGTTGCTATTGGGGGCACTGGTTAAGGAGGAGGAGTCTGGAGTACCAATGGGAGACCCGAGAAGAAGAGTATTGGGGCTTCCCTGTGCAAAACCCTTACAAGGCAGGTAAGTATAATGTCTGTTGTTTTTTTTTTTTCCTACCCTGCCTTTAATATCATTTTAAAGTGAAAGTTTAGTCAGAAAATGTCAAAGTCCTTATAGATCTCTTCAGGCTGGCACCTTTTGGAGGTATAGCTATGACAACATTAAAAATAAGTATGCATGCTTTTTAAAATCCAGAAATGACACTGTCTTCTCCATGATCTGCACATGCCCAGTTGCTCTCTCTTTTTGGGCACTGTGCCTAAAATATAGAGGCCAATCTGCTTACAACCTAAAGATTTACTGCTGCTCAGGGGCTCTGGGCTCCAGCAAATTGGCAGCCTCCAGCAAGAAGATACAGGAACAATGCAGGAGGCAATATACAGAACACACTAATGTTGGTAGCGTAATTATTCATGTGGAATGTTCTGTATGTTCTTGGCTAAAAAAACAATATTTTTATCAAGCTGTTATGGATAAAGTTCCATTTTAAAGTGTAACAAAAGGCAATTTTTTTTTTTTGTTTGTTTTTAGAGTGGAGCGGGATTAGAACACCTGTCAGGTAGTTATTGCTGTCTGTGCCCTCGTTAGGGAGATTCACCCTCTCTATTTGTCATGGTTACTTTTATCACTGAGAGTGAAAGTGAAAGAAAACCCCACATCCTGGGTTGTCACCATAATGGGAATAGAGGAAAAGTTTTACAATGGGGCCACTAGTTCTAGTGAACCTGGTGACAACCAGGGATTCCCTCACCTTGAAGGGATTTCCTCTCACTTCTTGTTTTGACTATGGGACAGGAAGTGAAGGGAACTTTCTCCAATGGGACACAGATGGCAAGGGGTTATATCCCTCCCTTATTCTAAAAAAAAAAAAGCCTTTCCATGTACTTTAACTGCAGCCAAGAAAAATTAGGTCTCCCAACAATTTCTTTGCAGTTCATTACTGGATCATTTTCGGCTATGCGCTGTGGTTTGTCTAAAATTTTAATTGTAGGTGACATAGAAATGTCCCCCAACATCAACATTCCGTCCTCATCTGTTTTTTCCACATTTTACTATTGTATTGTATGTGGGAAGCATGTGTATAATTTTACGTCTATACGGACTGGCCTTTGTATATGAATACATACACACACATAATAATGAACATCTCAAGTTTCCATGACCCCAATTTTCCAGGGTGAAAATAAATCAAGTCAAAATCAATGCTGCTTGTTTAATGTCAGGCCTATAAATTACACCCAATAATTGCAATTCCTAATGATTTAACATATTAATAAATCTCTCTCTCTCTGCGTTTTGTTTTCTTTATGTTTTTTTTTTTTCACCAGAGTCAGAAAGGGGTAAACTGTTAAGGGAATTCAAATAGAAATGTGCACAAAATGTGATTTATTGACAACATGACTGAATACAACTAAATTACCTCAGTCATCCCATTACCTCATCATTTCAGTATTAAAGTAAATGTATTGTGTTCTTGTATATCTTTTCTTGATTTATTATATTCGGGATAGGAAAAAATATAAGACATAATAAATATGAACTATTGCATACAAATATTCTGTAGTTTGCTCTTCATCCAGAAGGTAGACGTCTACACTCCTTTGCGTGTGTTTACAAGGCTATTCTGAACCGGTCTACTTAAAAAAAAAAAGGCTGTTGTTTTCAGAGCTCCAAATCAGAACCTTACACACATGATATGGCCCAAAAATTGTAGACACCTCTTTAAATTTCTGAGGTCTGGCATTACTAGTAAAGAGTACTGGTAATGCTAGGGCATATGAAGACACCTTAGACCAGGTTTTCCATGGAACCTTAGGGTTCAATCTGAGGTTGCTAAGAGTTCAATTTCTACCTCTCAGAAAAGCTTCAAATAATCATTTTAGCTATCTGTAAGTGGGAATTCTTCCCAATGACCACAAATGTAAAGAGCATTCTTCCTACTGACCATCACTCCAATAATCAGTGAGCTGTAGATTTAGCAATTAATATAAGAGGTTCCTTGAGACCCAAAAGTTTAAAGGATTCCTCCATTTAAAAAAAAAAAAAAAAAAAAATTGAAAAAGGCTGCTTTTACCAGCCCATAGCTTATGCAACTTTCTTTCCTTCCACCACGGGTATCCCTCTCGGAACGCTGGCAGTAATCCCATTGAAAAAATCTGACAGGCTGGTTGTACCCAAGTCGATCAATGTATTGACTTGGGTACAACCAGCCTACCCATAGATGGATTGTCTCTTGGCCGGTCCCTGCTGAATTGATTCAATCTATTTATGGCCAGGTTTAAACCATTGTGCATTTCCAACCTTATAACAGTTTAGAGAAGGTCCTTTTCTGTTCCACCATTACTGTGCCTCTTTGCACAAAAAAAAAGAGAGCTATAAAGTTGAGTTTTGTGTGGAGGAACATACATGGCCTGAACAGAGCCCTGAACATACTGAACACCTTGGGATGGATTAGTCAATTCCCATCTACCTAATCTCCATCTGTGACTGCATGGCATTTCTCAGGGTAGGTGGCAGACGTGGCACATACTTTTGCAATGTGTCATGTGCAGTCTCTATCAGGAGAGCATCCCTCTGTAATTTGTAATAAAGAGTTTGAATTATACAGTATGAAGCCTATTGTGTGGTGATCAGAGGAAACTGTGGAGATCCCGCAATCCTTAATGCACTAAATGACATCGGCACAGCGTGTACAGTGGAGAACAGCTCTGAAATATTACCCTCACAGGGTAACCTTGAT